AGTGATCGCTCCATCCTCATTCTTTGTTTTTTCATAGTGCCATAAGATTGTGGCATACCTTTCACGATGGTACTTTGCATCGATTTCAACAGTTCCCATGTCAAAAACAACATTGCTGATAATTCATATGTTTATACACAATTAAGATACAATAACATTAATGTTAATACATAATTCATACCATTTTATAGTCAAATTCATAAACATTTTTTTCATAATTCATACAAAATACATCACCCAAATTTTATAGTCAAATTCATAAATATTTTTTTCAAATTTGGAACAAATTTCACACAAACAACTGTTTTGAAAACAATAATAAGAATAATGTGATATAAAAAATAACTATTTTGAGTAATGTGAAAATAAATTAAATAAAGTACTTACCCTTACAACTTTTTTGGGGTTTTTGTATTTTGGTAATTCTGATTCCTTCTTCTTTGTTTTTCTTCTTGTAAATGGTTTTGATGTTTGAGCAACTTCAACATTTGTTGATTTTTTTCTTTTTTTCTTTTTTGTTTGACTAACAAAATACGAATCAGAATCAGAATCAGGAGAGGTTTCAACAAGTGTTTTCCCCTTTCTCTTCTTCCCCTTTTGATTTGCCAGAATCACACTATCCTTTGCTTCATTATTTTTATCTTTTTGATTATTCGATCGAGAGGAACCACCGGTCGCCGAAATTTCAACAGTTTTAGGCGGGGATGTTTGGGATAATATATTGAACGATAAAGCATGAACATAATCAATTGAAGTTCCATCAAATCTGGGACTCTTTCGAGGAGTTTCAATGGGTTTCTTAAACATGATGATGAATAATCGTGGGGTAGGGGGGTGGACTATTTTGAAGTTAGACTTGATGAGAAACAATGGTGAAAGTCGGATAGTGGGTTGTGGCGTCTAGGAGTTAATTAGCGTGGGGCAGGGGGGTGGGATTGAACAATGGGGATGATAACGGTAAACAAGGAAAGAAAACGTGTATGGAGAAAATTTCTAAAATTGGGTAACTGAAAATTTTAGTTCTAAAAAAAGGAAGTGAAATCAAATTAATTACCTATTATTAGTTAATAATAAAAACCTTTAAATAGATTAATAATTTATTAAATAAATATAATTTGAATTTTAAATAAAATTAAATTTAATTGATATGTCATAACCCGTAAATAATCTGTTATAAGCAAGAATTTTTTAAAAGTAAATTTAAAACCCGTAATATTTACTTTTAAATGTGTATATGGGTGATTTTTCCTTTTGTAAAATGGACAAGTAATTTGGACTTATATATTTTTATTAATAATATAGACAAGGATGAAAGTACTTAATTACCAACTACTGGTGTATTATAACTTGTAGCTGGTAATTAAGTACGTATGGCTTTTTGCACAAAGTAAAAAATCACCTTATTATTATTATAATAGAAGCAAAATCGTTGCTAAATAAAATTAAACATATATGAATATAAAGGGAAAATTAGAGTGAGTGTATACACACACACAATGCAACTACATTGAAGCTAATTTTGGCTAAACAAAGACATAATAATTCCATCTATCTGAGAACACCAAACATCAGTGGATAAGTAGTAGATCCACCACAAAGAAGCCCAATTCCCAAGCCATATCACACAAATAAAGGAACTAAAATTAATGCATAAATCATAAACAATAAATATGGTAATTGAATTGAATTGTTCATCTACGGCAACGAGTGATAGCAGAGCAACCTCTAGTGTAAGGGTGAGCTGGACCTGTAGCATGATAACAATGGTGCGTGTAATACGATCTGCCAGATCGTGGTGGGCAGGGGATTCTGTTAGCTGACAATGCTCCATATGAAATGTAGTACTTGAATTTGTGCCACAATAGAGATCTTCCATTTCCATCTAACTGCATCTCATCATCCTCTGTTTCTTCGTATAAAGACGACATTGCCATTGGCAACTCAAAATCTTCACTCACCAGTTGTTCTAAACCAAATTTATCAACTTGTGCTTCGATCACAATTGCATTGTTGGTGATGGTGAATAAGAAGATGATAAGGAAGAAAAGTATTGGAGACTCCATGAGTTGTATGCAAAAAAAAATGGTGAAATAAGTGTGTTTGTGTAATTGGAATGGAATACAGCTTGCTAGTAGGGGTCCATCAATTAAGGCTGCATTGTCTTGGTAAGAGTGCAACCCACCCACTCTCCATTAATTCTTGCTGCTACATTTGCGGTTAGGTTATCAACTTTCTTCCTCCGTGATAAATGTTGTGGCCTCACACATTTTATTGAACGTTTTCTAAGCTCCTTAATTTTGTGCTAATGCATGTTAGTACTACAAACTACACCATCTATTATTCTTCTGACCCTTAAAAGTAACTATCTGACCTTGAACTAACCTGAGTTGCGGTGTAGCAGTGGAACTGCTCTATTCTTAATTGAAGGTATTGAGTTCGAGCTTTGTATATGAAGAAATTTTTATTGAAAGCGACACTTTTCTATGGTTCATGCAATATGAGATCTAGATTTAATTGGAGCTCCAATGTGAGCTTTGTACATCAAGTGTGGAAAATCAAAATGTTACCCCAAGATCAGATATCTTTTATTTTTCCCACCCGATGCCCGGAGATGTTATTCTGACAAGCAGGGGCGGATCTACGTTCAATGAAGGGGGTTCATCCGAACCCCCTTCGTCGAAAAATTACACTATATATATAACATTAATTTTTGAATATATGTGTATATAAAGGCGTAGCTCAGTGGCGTTGGGGGTTCAGGAATTTGCTCTACTGCACGTGAGGTCGCGTGTTCGAATCCGGGCAGTCGCGTGTTCGAATCCGGGCAGAGGCATTTTGTTTTATCAACTTACTTCAGGCGTTTTATTTTTTTAAAATAAATAATAATGCAATCAGAAAATGATGTTTAGTTCCAAAAATTAAAACGCTGATTGGAAATTTAGGATTTATTAGTCTAATCCCTAATTATAAAGTCAAATATTAAAAAATCCGTTTCTTCTTGATTCAACCGTTTAATCCGACCCGTTTATATCCGATTCGACCCGTTTATTTGTGGATATTATTTACGTGATTAATTTTTTTGAACCCCCTTGATGAAAATCCTCCCTCCGCCACTGCTGACAAGAGGAAGTTGCTCAAATGATAAGTACTCTCACTTCCAACTCTAAGAATGTAAGTTCAAGTTACGAAGGAAGCAAAAAGGTGAAAGCTTGGAGCTCCCGCATAGGGGTAAAAAAAAGTAGATGACAGGAGTTGTTTATTTATAAAAAAAATAAAAACAAAATTTGATTTGACCAATTTTTAAATCAATCCAAACACCTTCTTATTAGCTCTATATAAGCATTTTTATTTCAATCTTTGCAACAAATTTTGAAATCATTCTTTAAATACTCACGTGAATGTCAGATTTTATCGTGACTATAATATTGTCACTGCATAATAGAAGCTACAACCACCGACACTGATCCCTACCACATATTTAATATTGTTGTCAATCATCGCCACCAATATAATTATTACCAACACCGCTAGCTACTTCCGCAAAACCACCATTGCTATTCACTTTGACTACCAACCGCCTCCATCACCACCGCCTACCACTGCACAATCACCGCATCAAAAACCTCTATCGTCACTCTGTCAGACACCACCTCTACTACTTAATCAAACAAACAACTAAAGGGTTTATAAAAGAGAATACAAAGAATTAACGATAGACAAAATTTTATTATCAAACAATAAAATCTCATTTAACTATGAATTAACATGGACAATATTCAATAAGAAATTTCATTAACTAGGAATTACCGATAAATTTGTCATATTTTCTAATTGTAAGACTTTAAAAAGATGTCCACGAAAAATAACAAATTTGATAGAAGAAAAAAGTTTATTGTATACGTGCACAAATAAAAGGAGAAAAAAAAATGTCGTTGGAGATATCTGAGACAGCACCCCAAGTTGTTGCAAACAGGTGGGTCTGAAAAGCGAAATGCCTCGTTGGTATAAAGATCTCATTAGTTGTTCTTCTTGTTGTTGCTTTGCTCTTTTTGCGAAGGGGTAGACCTTTGTATGTGTAATTTCACGTGCAACTTGCTAACCAATTCTAATTTAATATTATAACTAGCTAATTATTGTAGGTCGATTGTCTGACAAATATTTGTTGAATAAAAATACTCACAATATTAATTAGATACCAAGGAAAAATGCATTTTTATCACCAAAAATTTGACCCATTTTTAGTCCTGTTAATCAAAGGTGATTCTTATGTACTCTTTATAAGAACGTTGTTTGTGCTATATATTATTATATAAAACTCAATTTAAATATAAAATAAGGTGAAGTCATAATAAAAACAGAAATACATTTATGACTGTGTAGGAAATTGAAAGAAAGTCTTATCACACAAAGTCTAGTAACACGTTGAGAGAATATCAATCAATCTACTCAACAGTGTAAGAACCCACGCCTATTAAATCTAAAATGTCCAACTCTGCTCACCATTTGCCTTGCTTCTAGCGAAAGACTGGAATTACAAACACAAGACAAACCTAGTCCCTTATGAAACATCTGATAAAATTGGAACGATACTGAAAAAATTAGCATGGTCCTTGCGCAAAAGTTAAACATTGCGCAACTGGTACAAACAAGAGAGAAAACTAAGACTAGCCTTGTTGGGGTTCAGGGATGACTGGGAAATCAAAGTAACACACACCATTTAGCCAAATTTTTTACAAATAGTACTCATTAGCATGATCATGATCAGGACGCCGTGTACATATGTTATTTCATTTTATTTTAACTTAGCATTTTGTGCACTAGAGTTCATGGATGGATGAGGCTGGCATGCCCTAATAGAGCTTGAATTATAATTCATTGGCCCTGGCGATGACATTGCTGTTGAAAATCCAGAAATCATCGGCCTATTATTAACCGCGGCTTGCTCTAAAGATTGAAGTTGCTTCTTTAAAAACTTAACATAATGGACAGCCTCATCTAACATTGAAGCAGTATCCATTTTAGTTCCTCCAGGGACTAGTCTTTGCAAAATCCTTATCCTTTCACTTATTCGTTCCCTCCGATGCCTGGCTGCCACACTCTGTGGATCCTTCGATATCTTAACATTTTTTCTCTTGGGAGGTTTAACTGATTCGGGATCAATGTGAATCGGCTGCATCATCGCGATACGAAAAATCATCTCCCTCATAGCCTCCATAGAATTTCTCCTCTGTAAACATGAGTAATCATTTCCACTACCATGAGCCGCCGATGCAATAATTTCATCGATGGATGAAAGTATTGGCATCGCGGCGGGTTCTTCAATTGGATTGCCCATGAATGAGAAATTAGATGGAGGAGAAGTCATTAGGTAATTGGAGTTATGGAGTGGTGGTTGCAATGGTATCATTTCAATATTGCTATTGGAGAATCCAAGTTCTAGTGAGTGAGCAATATTTTGTAACTCCATGATTTGTTTTGTAAGGTAAAGAGGAAAAAAAACAGGGGATATATAGAAATATTAGAATGAAAGATGGGCTAAAAGGGATTCAGGGGATACCACTATGAGAAGTGTTCCTTTGAGCATAGCATAGAATTGTCAGTGCTATATGTGCATATATATGACAAGTTGTGACCTACTCCTATATATGTTTTTATATTCCAAATAATACGCAATGATACAGATCACATTTTATTTTATTTTTTTAATTTATTTTTCGTTAACAGTAGTAGCATTTCCATTTGCAGGTAATTTGAGAGTTACAAAAGCTTGAGTCATAGTGTCAGATGTAATAACGAGTAGATAATTTTTGTGTAAATATAAAAGGGGAATGCGTTTGAGTAAAGGTGCATGAACCAAAAAGGGCAGCAATGACTAAAGAGTTAAAACAGAGGTATGGTCCTGGGAATGAAAAACTAGATACATTTGCCTTTAGAAAAAATTAACTTCAAATGGTAACCCCACAACACATGACATCTGTCAGAAGGATAACAAGTCTGGTTTCACAAGTGGGGTAGTCAAGAAAGATGAACTTACCTGGAAAGTAGCCCATCTTCCATTTCTACATTGAGCTACAGGCATGATGGATGTGGAGATTCCGTTCTATAGCTCTTTACAAATTTATTTATATATATACATATAAAAGATCTCAAAAAGGTTACTAGTTTTTTTTCTATTCAATTCGTAAGTAACAGTTACACACAATATTAGCATAAGTTCGGACAAATTCAATATTTTCTTACTTTAGATCATTTAATTGTATAAACACTAATTACACATATAATAATTAAAACGAACAATGAATTTGATGATGGTAAGTTCAGAGTCATAAATTTCAAATACTGACTTTGTCTCGAAGGATATCAGGCATCCTGTTACACAACTGTCTTACTTGAATATAATGATGCTTCTATGGCACGTATCTCGATCTCGATTTAGGAAGTTTTTGAGAAGTAAACTTTAGTTGGACCGACTCCCTGCTCCTCTCAAGTTGAGAAAATGACCTGTTTTGGACCAAACATGGAAATTTAACTGCCTGGTAAAACAGATAGTCTGACTATATTTTACATCATGAAAATGTTAGTCCAAACTCCCCTTACAAGTTACGGCTTTTCTGAAATATTCTGCTTGATCAGAACACCACACGAAGCAACGTTTTTATACTACTCGAAAACTTGCGTGCTTATACAAAATTGCATACTTTACCAATGATTAAATAGTTAGTATTAAGCTAAAAAAAAAATTATGAAAAAGTCATTCAACTTTGCCTGATACGTTTGAAAGTCAATATACAATTATTCGAATAAAAAGATCACTCAACTATATGGGTAAGTAGTAGAAAGGAAAGTCTCAAAATAGTCCCTCATCTTTGGGTTAAAGTTCAAAGTCATCCTTGAGTTTTCACATGGAGCATTTATAGTTCCTCATGTTTGCAATATTGGTGCACTTTTGATCCTCCCCTAAATTTTTGCCTATTTTTTAACATTAATTTTGTTCACAATTTTATGTAAGGAATGTCCAATCGTCTTTTTATATATTTAGTAGAAATAATAACTCTATGTGAGAGAATGTGATAAGAAGAACACATTGTTCTGTTCAGTAGAAATATTACTGCAGTTAAACTAAGAACATCTTAACACATGATGTTGGAAGAAAAGAAAAAAATTGTACTATTGCACGTGAAATTATCGTGATGAACCTCTCGACTTTACCTGCAATACG